CAGACTCTAGCTGCCATGGCTCCTGACACCTGGTTATTAGTCAGGCGTTTGGGTTCAGCATACCAGTTCATGCAGTCTTTAATGTTTCACACCAGTTAGCTCATGACACATTTTAGTTAGCACACCAGCTGATGGAATGGACTTGGGTTGGTGATTCTGCCATCGCCAAAATGAAGGAGTTACAAAAATCCCATCAGCTACATTTGTTCCATCGTTTCTTGACAGAAAAAGGTAGAATGCTCCTTCCAGGCTGGGAGTGAGTCTACCACAGGAAAAGGAGTTGTTTAGGTGTCTTGTTTGTGACTGATGGTGTGATGGATGACCGTACAATTGGGGCTTTATCTGTAGTCTTGCAGATGCTCCAACAATCTGTGATGGTGAAGAAAGCTGAGACACAAGACCATTAGTTTACCCATCGACCTTCTCTCCGGCCACAAGCTGTGATTAATGGCCCAGCTGACATGAGTTTTCTCCACAGAGTAGCTGGACTCACCGTCAGGGATAGCTTCTTTGTCTTTTAGGATGAAGAATGAACTGAAAAGCAGCATTCCTGATATCCTGACCCTCACATGTCATCATCTGATCACAATCAAGATAAAACAATTTGGATACAATAACCAAAATTACCTTCCTAAGTTGGGTGGACAAGCTCAGCCTTAGAGATAAGCTAGGGAGTTCCATCATGTGAGATGAGGTTGGAGTAGAGCTGAGTTTAGCAGTAGTTCCAACCAGACAGACAGTGGACTTACTGCTCAGTGGAAACTTTATAACTCACTGTCCTCTGTAGAGTTTTCCAAGCCACAGGCCGATGTGTCACAGCAGCTGCTGCTCTCATGTTCCTCTGTCTCCGGATGTTTCTAACATCAGCTTAAGGAACTTCTCTGCTTTTTGATACTTGTATTTACTAAGTCAGAGCCTATTTAAGACCAAACTGATCTGAAGCCTGTTTCCTCTCTAGTGAAGTCTGCCTATGCTGGGCATTATAAGGTTGTTACATGGTTTAAAGTTGAACAAACACAACCACAACTAAATGGCTTGGTACGTTTCACAACTACAACAAACAAAAGTCTTAGAGCAAGAACGCAGGTTTACATCCTGAAGGTGAAACTTTCCCATTTGAATCATTCACACACATCTGGGAAAGCGATGCAGTCAGCCAATCAAAGCAGTCGCTACAGATTCACACTAGCATGTCGGGCCAGAGCCTCTCATACCAGTTGGGTACCAAGTGTGCAGGGTCAGTGTTCAAACCCTACATGTCAGAAGCTGGTGTTAGACTCTGTTAGAGGTCTCATTAATCCAGGGGGCATTTATTGTCTAGGATCAAACTCTCATAGGTTAATGGTATACACACCACAACTACCCATATGCTCCAGTGCTGACTTAATCACTGTAAACAGAGACTCAGTAGCTCAAACAGAACAGGAAACATCACTCATCCCATTATAACCACATCTTAGAGTATTTTTATGTTCTCTGGGCGGGTCAGCGGGGACGAGGGACAATAAAGACCAAACCTTAAAACGGGATGCGTTTTAGCTGAATTCTGATAAATGATATGAATCTCTGTATTTGTCTTCCCGTAGAGTAATTATGAAAAAAAGGTACTTTCAATGAATATCTGTGAATAAAAGCCTGGCGCTCCTGGTTCGAGAAGTACAGTTAAGCTAGAGGAGTGACGGGCAAACAGCACCACGACTCTACCATTGATTCAGTTTTCTTTGCAATACTGATGTTTTATCTCCACAAATAACTCAAGTCTGAAGGAGTTCTGCTGTGTGGTGAAGTTGCTGATGCTTACAGTTAGCTTCTACTAGTCGAGACATTCTCTGCTGTTTCCTAGATGCTAAACCAACAACCCCATTTTGAGTCAAGATGGGTGAGTCCATGAATGACATGTAGTGGTCGGGCGGTTGTCGAGTGTTTCCATAGCTTTTAAAATGCAGGAAATAAGAGTAGAAGACTGTTTTTACGTTTCCAAAAACATAACAACAGGTAAAAGATGATTTTTCTGTCATAACCGTGACTTTGGACCCGTAAAATCACCCAAACACAGAGAAATGTTTATAAGCTCTGACAGGCAAAGATCTAAACCTGTGGAGAAGGGAGTGGAAAGGGGCTCGGGTAAGGAGGCAGTTAGGGTCGTAGCCAGAGAAGCAGACAGCAAAAATAATCCAAATGGGGAAGGCGAGAGGTCAAGGGCGAGGTCCAAGGTTCAAGTGAGTCAGAGGCAAAAGGAAAATCCAGCAAGGACGAGACGAGGAGGGATAATCCAAAACGGCAGAACAAGGTGTGGAGAATGCCCTAGCATGGAGCCTGTGGTGATCAGATGGAGAGTCAGTGGCTGGATGTGGTTTAAGTAGCAGGAGGAGCAGATGAGTGGCATGAGCTTGATAGCAGGTAGAGGTGTGGAAGATGAGGCTGATGAAGCAGGCTGTGGTTGCCGTGGGAACAGGGCATGGCTGGAGCTGGATCTTGACATTCTCAGAGAAACTACCCTTAAAAGTTGGGAATGTTGGCATGGCTGGAATCTCACAGCATTCGCTCATGTCAGCTGGGAGGGAAAGATAAGTTTCTGATGTATTTAGCCACTGTTTTGCAATTGTTGTTAGAATAATAATAATAATAATACATTTTATTTCAAGCACCTTTCAAACCTCTCAAGGTCACTGTACAAGACAAAATATAAGGAACAGCAAGCAATACAAACAACAAGAAATAAGTGCTAAGAGTAATTCCCAAGGGTAGAGTCAGAGCAGTACAATGGATAATAGACTAAAAAGAGTCGATGGAAGGAGGACAATGAGTAAGCCAGGCGGAACATGTGAGTTTTGAGTTGAGACTTGAAGGTTGAGAAGGAGTTTATATTGCGGAGGTCAGGCGGTAGAGTGTTCCAGAGTTTTGGAGCTGAGTGGCTGAAAGCTCTGGCTCCCATAGTACTGAGACGAATGCGAGGAACAGACAGGGAAGGTGAAGATGATGATCGGAGAGAGCGAGTGGGAGTGACAATGTGGAGGAGATTATAAAGATAAGGGGGAGCGTGATTATGGATGGCTTTAAAGGCATGAAGAAGTATCTTATAGTCAATTCTGTATTTGACAGGGAGCCAGTGAAGTTGTTGCAGGACAGGCGTGATGTGATCAAAAGTGGAGGTCTTAGTGATTATCCGGGCAGCTGAATTTTGGACTAACTGTAACTTGTTGAGTGATTTTAGAGGGAGACCGGAGAGGGGGCATTACAGTAATCGATGCGACTGGTGACCAGGCTGTGGACCAAAATAGCAGTGGAGTGCTGACTGAGGGAGGAGCGGAGCCGATTGATATTGCGAAGATGAAAATAAGCAGTTTTTATTGTGTTGTTAATATGAGGAATGAAGGATAAGGTGTTGTCTAAGGTGGTACCCAAGCTCTTAGCTTTGGCGGTGGGGAGAAGTGTGGTGTTGTCGAAGCTGAGTGAGAATGAACTGGTCTTGGAAAGAGATGACTTGGTGCCAATGAGGAGGATCTCAGTCTTATTGCTGTTGAGCTGTAGAAAGTTAGAAGAAAACCAGGATTTGACTTCGGTGAGGCAACTGAGAAGGGAGGATGAAGGGAGCGGGGGGTTTGGTTGGGTAGAGAAGTAGAGCTGGGTGTCATCAGTGTAGCAGTGAAAATGAATATTAAATTTCCTGAAGATATTGCCAAGTGGGATTAAGTATATTATGAAGAGAAGGGGACCTAAGACTGAGCCCTGAGGAACTCCAGAGGTAACTGGCTTGGGCACCTCCTCGTGAAATCTAAACCATTGATTATGCATTCATCTTCAGTCTGATTCCACCGCTCATTTGAAACCAGAGATGGGAACTTGTGGCATCAACAAGTCATCTCCATGGCATGTTTTCCTCAGTTCAGCAGCTAAACCAGCTGATTTCAACCAGCACCCTGAATGAACCTGGCTCAGCTTCTGAACAGAACAACATCACGGAGTGGAGTTGACTTGGTCATGCCACAACTCCCATCTCCGTTTGAAACTTCTGCTGTTGCCACGGTTTCCTGTCGTAAAGTGCAGTGTAGCAGGTGGAACATTTCCCCACAGGTGGGGGTGGTGTTAGCAATGCATTCACAGCGCGTCGGAGAAACAGAAATCCAAGCAGACAGCTGGATTTAATGTGAGCATTAATACTGGATTTTTAAGATAAAGCTATTTTAACCATCCCGCCTGCGTAGCCAAAGGAACAAACATCTAATTACGTCACCGTGTTAAGTAAGATAACAGAAGATATTATTTTAACCGTTGTAGGTGGAAATATTTCTGATTCATCAAGTGTTGTCAGCCCTTTGGTGGAAGCCATGAAGACCCATCCCGTGTTTCATCAGGTCTTCTACTAGTTCAGCCTGGCGACTAGACGGTAGTTGTTATGACAACCACATGACACAGGTGATTAGGTGTCGTTTTAGTTTACCTTGGGCTCGTTTACTGCACAGCTTTTATTTGTTTTCTACACTTTTTTGTCCTCCATCCTGTGATGGCCCAGTTTCCTCAGCATCCGGTCCAAATGCGTCATGCCAACAGGCAACACTGTCCGCTTTGTTGCCACCATAACAAAGGCGCTGGTGACATAATGCCAGGAAGAGAAGGGGTTTCTGTGAAGGATGGGATGGGCAGGCCTCTCCCTGCAGCTCTTCTAGCCACAAATCACATGACCAGACCTACTGTTCTTCTGCTGTCTTCCTACTCGGCTGCAGCAGGCAGTTACAGGAACACAACAACTTACTCTTGGAAATGAAGCCTCCACTCATGTGCCAGAGTGTAGTCTGAGTAGCCCGGAGTTGGTTTCACTCACCCAGGATTGATTTACCTTCCAGTCTCAGATGTACACCACCTTCTGGCTGTTAGACCTGATGGTGCTCAATCTGTATCAAATAAGTAATTTAGGAGAGTTCTAGTCACATATTTATGGTTCTGTCTAACGGTTGTTTAGAGAACTGGCATCCCACTCCATCCTCCCTCCTTGTTTCCAGGTACAGGCAGCGGTTCCCTATCCCACGCCATCCTGCGCACCATTGCCCCCAGCGGTCACCTGCACACGGTGGAGTTTCATGAGCAGAGGGCCCTCAAGGTAGCAGAGGAGTTCAAGGAGCATCGTGTAGATCATTTGGTGACGGTCAGGAACCAGGACGTGTGCAAGGATGGGTTTGGAGTGACGGGGGTGGCGGATGCTGTCTTTCTGGACATCCCCAGCCCCTGGGAGGCAGTGAAACATGCCAAGGTTGCTCTGAAGAAGCACGGTAAGACTCCGCCGGGCGCTGTCTTAAGCGTCCACAACCTAATGTAACACAGAAAACAAATACAATCACGTTCTGCTTTGCAAGCATATGAATGACGCTCACTTCCTCCCCTTCGTCTTGTTTTGGTGTTCTAAACAGTCGGCGCAGGTAAAGATGGCAGAGCAAGGGCAACACACACTGTTGCTGTACGATGTGGGTTCAAAGTTACACCAACTGAATGTTCCCACCAACTCTGAGGTGTAGCATCCACACGGCTTCATTTCCAAGCACCAGCACTCCTAACAACACTAGGTTTCTTCACTCCAATTTGCATTTTGAGACTCCTGGGCTTCGTTAGAAACCCGCTGATGGTCTGGGTTTGCTTCTTGTGATTCAATCAAATACAAGATACATTTTGTCCAGTTGGCGTCTATTGTCTGAATCTAACATTGATCACACCAGTTAGTTTAGGACTGGAATGATTCTTATGTGTCAAAAATCCCTTTAGCCTCACAATTCCCACATCTGTCTGCAGTGTGTAAAATGTCAACTCAGGAATAAGAAAAGCTCTGGCGATCAGAGGACACATTTCTGAATGTTTTCATTCACCTGAAAGGATAGAAGATTGGCTGTTTGATAGCTACTTTGTAGCTCAGAGGGGTTTTTAGCTGAAGAGGAGAAATGAAAGTAGAGGGTTTGCTAGCTCAAGTCACGCTAAATAACGATACAGCAGTGCTAGGGGTGTCCGATATTATCGTCCAATGTTGTCATTAAAGGGGCATTATGGAAGTTTGACAGCCAAAACATGTATAGAAACAATAAATGTCTTCTTCATACATTCTCCTGCAATGCCCTGGTCCTGTAGAATGAGCCCTGGCATTTTTACTGTGATTGCCTGTTTTTCTGTAAAATCACAGCAAAAGAGAGCTGCTCGGGTCGAGCAGGCTGCTTCATGCGCGTTCACGCTCAGGTATCGCCCGTAGCATTTGCTATCAGTAGCTTTAGCAGCAGAGAGAGAAGCAGTGCCACTTTGTCGCTGTTCCTAACGCCTAGTGATGAACCTAGCTACATTTCTGAGGACACTTAGCTACTTTCTGTAGAACTTTCTTCTAGATATTTCCTGCAAATTAGCAACAAAAAAGCCATTTTCACTCCGAACCGTTCTTTGGTTTGACGTTTCAACAGTTATCAAGGATATAAATGTTACAGATACGCCAAATGTTACTGGCGCCTTAGCTCACCTAGTAAGATGTCTGATTCGTGCAGAAGACCTGGGTTCGATTCTGGGTATGAACATAGTTTATTTAGAGTTTCTTTTTTACATTAATGATATATTTTTTTACAGTAAGATGCCCAAATTTTTATTTGAGACTCGCCGAATGGCATTTAATTCACAGATAAAAAAGATGTGGGTTCAACTTTCATTTTGGAACAATTTTTCTAGCAAGGGAAGGGAATGATCTGAGCATGCAGGAGGACTGACCCATCATAAACCTTTGTCGGCTGTGCTGAAGAGAAAGCTACAGAACCACATTATTTAAGTAATTAGCTGCACGTTCTTCTGTCCTCCGGACACACACACACACACACACACGCACGCACACACACACACACACACACACACACACACACACACACACACACACACACACACACACACACACACACACACACACACACACACACACACACACACACACACACACACACAAGGGACTGTCTCGGCTGTTATTTTCGTTAAGGAGTGTGCACGTACAGCATGCGCGCCTCGTTCACGAGCCTCCTATTGAAGCTGCCGTTACGCTTTTGGCCTGAGGGGGCAATCGCGAGCATAAAAATTCAAAACTCCGTAAAGTCCCTTTAAGTGTACTATCTGAAAATATCTATTGTTTTCCTCCTTGTGACCCAGCTTTGACATACCATACACACATTACCCATCAAACTCGTGTTTGTTATCTGATTATTCTCTCAGAGGAAACAGAAACTACATCAGTGAAAGGTCTGAGTTAACTCACTCTGTTGCACTATAAATGGCCTGTATGTGATATAGCGTCTTCTAGAGTCCTGGAACCCCCCAAGGCGCTTTACAACACAATCAGTCATTCACCCATTCACACACACATTCATACACTGGTGGGGATGAGCTACGATGTAGCCACAGCTGCCCTGGGGCGCACTGACCGAGGCGAGGCTGCCGATCACTGGCACCACCAGTCCCTCCGACCACCACCAGCAGGCAACGTGGGTTAAGTGTCTTGCCCAAGGGCACAACGACAGCGACAGACTGAGCGGGGCTCGAACCTGCAACCTTCCGATTACGGGGCGAGCACTAAACTCCTGTGCCACCGTCGCCCCATTATTAATCAAACTTTTTCCCATCATGAACTTAATAATTATGGGAGGCCTAAAGGCAGCTCAGAGCTTTAGACAGGATTATCTCAGGGTCATGAGCTGCTGTTGGAGACTAGTAAACATGACATTTTTTTTTCTATTACAAAACTCAATTCAAGGGATTTTCATTTTGCACGGACAACGTTTGAAGCTTTGGAACAGTCTGGAGAAAATGAAATGAATTTCTGAGCTTTAGCAGCGTTCTGTGTCTAAACCTCAGACGGGTGCAGACGCTGGTTGTGTGGTCCGGCTCTGGTGGAGGCATCTCAGGCCCGTCCCTGAATCTCTGCACCACTTTCCACAGATGTTGTTTCCGCTTTGTCTGCTTGGGCTTAATGCACATTAACGCTACTCTTACTCTTCCCAAAGGGATCCTCTCCCTCTGCACCACTCTGATCTGTGGTTTCTCCATCCTCTGCTGTGGACTTTAGTAAACAGCAGGAATCTGGTGCAGCTCTGCAGATTCAGCCATCAAAATGGCGGCTAAGAGACGATATCCAGGCTGTCATAAACTCTTCTCTTCCTCATTTATTTGGATTCTTGTCGTTTATAAATATGGATCCAAGTTTCTTATGTTCTGAAAGTGTTTCGGGGCTTTTATCTGTTCAACACTCTCCCTTTTCTCATACCTCTGACTCTTCACCCTGTCATGGTCGAGTATGAGAATGGACAAGTAGCTAAAGTCCACAGATAAGCTCTGAAAGACCTTTATCGACTCAGCACACTGACGCAGACCTTTCTGAGACTACTCGGGTGTTGGGCTGTTTGTAAGGACAATATAAAGACAAAAGGGCCCCCTGAAGACTTCACCCTCTCCTGATGGAGGTTTTCCTGTTGCACCTCCCATGACCTTCATCTACCCTCATTATGTCCAGCCATAGCTACAGGAGCTCTAAACAAAACAAGCTACTGAAGCATGCTGGAGTCTCCATAGCAACCTGGAGGTTAAAACAAGTTGAGGCAGGCGACTAAGCATATTTATCCATCTAAACCAAGGGGCCGTTATCTGTTTATATTTGTAAAGCCAACGCGGAAGTGCCAAAAATTGCAGTTCCACCCTCATCCACCAGGGGCTGGATCCAAAACAGAGCAGGTCCTCATTGACTCCCATGTTAAATATGCAAATTTCACAGTAGAATTAAACATGTTTACAGCCTGGTTCAGAAAGGGTTTGATTGACAGGTAGCATGATTGTCAGAGCTAGAGCTCTGGGCTGGGCCGGGCAGCTGCCCGGCTTCCATGTGAGGCTGTAGTCATGCTGGTCACCTGTGGAGCTCTCTGAGGAAGACTTAAGAAACACAGAAGCTCTGTGAGTTGATGTTGCTCCACTTTGGAGTCACTCAACTGCATTTCTCACGGTAAAAGCCCCCACAGACCTTTGTTAGCTTCAGGTTAGCTCGTAGCTAATCTCCCGCTGATCTCCGACCATGGCGAAGAAGCAGAGCATGAGCTCACGGCCCCTCTCTCTGCTCCACCTTTCCCCCCATTTTTGGATTGTGTGGACGTGACGAGACACGTGACACAGCCAAGAAGGCGGTGATGGGGAACCGCCCGGGTTTGGCTCCATCAGAGGAATGAGAGGCGTGGCTGGTGCTATATTCAGGATTAATATACCTCTAAGATCTAAACCAGAGGTGTTTTATGAATGGTTTCTATCATTTTTTTAAACAAGTAAGGTTCCTGTTAGGGCTGCACGATATTAGGAAAACCTGCGATATGCAATAACAGTGATTAATATCGCGATGACGATATTACTTGCGATAAATTAAAACTTTACTCAAGATCAAAAATAATCAAAAACAACAAAATGACAAAAAAATAGACAAAAATTTCCTAAAAATAGAAAAGCTAAAGATGTGAGGAAAGGGAAAAAGAAAATGAACAAGAAAAGGCAATCAGTGGATCTCGGGAAAAGCAGAATCAGCAGAAAGAGCAGAACAAAGCTAAGGGGCTCAACACACGTGAGGCGACCCGCGGCCAGTGGCAAGGCCGCCTATGCGTTCTGTTCCATGGCGAAATTGAAACTTCCGTTGTTTTGTTTGGCCAACACATTCTCACACCCAAGGCGTCAAAATATGATGCGTGACTAAGCCGATTCGGGACGCCCCAGCGCGTCAGGAGACGACGATGAGGGACAAACTGCTGACGCAGCATCCCAGAGCGTCGGTATCCGACGCGGTGCTGAGACGGACTTTAGAACTACTTGTGAACTACTCAACCTTCCCCTCACACCAATTCTAACCTTAAGGTCACAGTTTATGGACCTTAAAGAGCAAGTCACCCCCAAATCAACTATTTTTTTCTGATAAACTATATAAATGTGTGTCTAATCGTGCTGCAGACACATGTAGTCAATAGTTTTGCACTTTAGTGCATTTTAGTTAAAATTTAAATTTTCTGCCTGAAACTGTCAGTGTTGTGCCGTTGTCAGGTAAAAACTCTGCACTGCATTTGAATTTAAATCTGCCACCGCTATTGGCTAAGAGGTATTTTATGATGTAAACTGGTACATTATGATGTCACAATTTCATGAGTGTGTATATTTGTTAGTGGCTCCACCCTCTCAGTCTGCTAGGCAACAGCATTTGTTGCATTTTTCAAACATGAAGTGGGAGTGAAGTACGCTTCTTGTTAGGGGTGACTTGCTCTTTAAGGTTAGAATTGGGGTGAGGGGAAGGTTAAATAGTCGAATAATGTCCGTCTGACCGCGCACGTCAAACAGTGACGCCCGCAGAGCCACGTGACCCAGTGTGTCCCTGATCGTCGTCTCCTGACGCGCTGGGGCGTCCCGAATCGTCATATATTGAGGCTTGGTCACGCACGTCATATTTTGACGCCTTGGGTGTGAGAATGTGTTGGTTTGGCTGTGTCAGGTTGGAGGGAATTAAGGTTATTTAAGTGGTTCAGAGTTAATAAAGTGGTAGATATGATGTTTCACAAGGTGCTGCTAGAGTTATGTGAAATCTTACTTCTGATTTTACTATAAAACATGATAATAATCAACTTCTCCTCTATGTTTGCTCGGAGATGTACGGAGCATCCTGTCCGCTCATTGGTCAGTGAATGAAACCTCCGTTGATTGGTCCTCGTCCGAGCGACAGCGATGAAAAGTTAAAAATGTTTCAACTTTCTGGGATCGCGTCGCTGGGTCGAGCGCAAAATTTCACGCGCACGTTTTTCGCGTTTCGCTTGGTAGGAGGGAGACCCGCGATTATCGCTTTGTCGCGCATGTCTCATTGAAAATGAATGGAGGAGAGGCGATGTCGCCTCCCGTGTGTCGAGCCCATAACTCCGGTGCTTGCTATCCATCAAAACCAAGTGCCATCCGCCTCGGGGGCGGGCATCTAACCTATGAGCACCCACCCAATTGGCCAAATGGGTGAAGAGCTCTATTTGATTTGTTAAAAAACATCATCATGCTTCCATTTGATTGACTGAATAAATTATGTGTAGCAAACATTTGAGCTGACCATTCATTGCGATATTTATCTGTTCTTTGCGACATGCCTACTGTGCATGCTGACATCGCGATACCGATATATCTATGATATACTGTGCAGCCCTAGTTCCTGTGTTAAAAAGCTTTGTTGGTTCTAGCTGAATACCACTAAGAACCGTTTTAATGAAGCAGTTCTGTTTTGAAGGCCTTGTCATGAACACACGGGTCACGGATGAAACCCGACCAGGCGTGGTATTTAAATATGGTCATTCAGGATGAAGGCTGTTTGTCGGGTAAACTCTGGAAACTTTAACTCGAGCCGGCCTCTGAAACTAAACGTGTTCTCACTCCCACCAGAGGGTCTCTGGGATCTTCTTCCAGTCCAGGGATCACCTTGTCTCACATTGATGACGCCTGACCGCCCAGGATTTGTTCTTCTGCAGAGGACGTGTCCCTAAAGAATAAAAACTCCGTCCGTCCCAGCATGAGGAGGAATTCACCGTGCCGCTCCCCCACCTCCTCTCTGGCTCCCTTTTATGGTTCCTCTTATAAGAGTCTCTCATACCAGATCAGTGCAGCGCTGCCACGTCCTCGCTGTAGAGGCCGTCACATGACCATACTCGGTGTTGCTCAGAGCTCCTGAATGTGGATTCATACTCTAAGGTTTGATTCAGTCTCTCTCACACACACACACACACACACACAGCGCTCCGCTTTCAGAAGCGCCGCTGCGGTCTCAACGCTGTAAATGTTGACAGACCGGCCAATAGAACAGCAGCTTTAAGGCCCGTGGAACACACGAGGCAGGACGTCCTAACCCTGACCCTGGAACGAGGATTCACCATTCTGACTAAAAACCAAATCAGCCTGAAGATTCTTCAGAAATTCCAGAAAATGTCCAAGTTTTAGAGTTAAGAAGCAGAAATTAGAGCTTTTTCTAAACTAGCTGTTAAACCTGAACAAGAAACAAATGAATGAGTTTGAATGGTTTTTTTTTCATATTGATTCACGTGTGTGTGTGTGTGTGTGGGGGGGGGGGGGGGGGGCAGTTGGAGTCGCCCTGGTGTAGACATTCACTTCGTGTGTGTGTGTGTGTGATGGTGGTGGTGGTGGTGGTGGTGGGGGGGGGGGCAGTTGGAGTCGCCCTGGTGTAAACATTAACTTCGTGTGTGTGTGTGTGTGTGGTGGTGGTGGTGGTGGTGGTGGGGGGGGGGCAGTTGGAGTCGCCCTGGTGTAGACATTCACTTCTCGTGTGTGTGTTGCTAAGAGAAGGGGTTTGCGTTGATTGGGGGGTTGTTGTGATGGTTACAAGACACGAAGCGCTCTTCAGCCACGCTGCCTTCTGGTCTTTCAGGACCTCTGGTGGATGACATCATCAGGAAGAGTTAAACTCTGAAGAGGAGGCAACACATGTATGGTTTAAAGGGACCTTTCAGTCGTTCTGAAGCATAAATACTCTGATCCTGAACAGCCGAGTTAGCAGAACTCTACAGGACCGACGAGCTAACCGCTAGTCTGGCTTGTTTATGAATTTCTGTGATTTTCTTTTATTTTGCACAATAAGAATAAATGTTTTGTAGATTTAAGCATTGAGATTTCACTCACCCAGGCTGTTAGCTCATCAGTTTTTTTTATATATGATATGAACTGTTTCTCCAAACAGAGGCTGTTCAGCTGTCGGCAACAGATATGAATTATTTATAACGCTTACACAGAAACACATTTGGACCCAAACCCGTGAATGCCAGCAGAGCAGTTTAGTGCGTTGTAGTCAGAACACAGAACCGTAATCGGGTCATAGTCCAGAGAGGCGGGATTGTGAAGGTTCATGACCTCCATCGCCCTGACGACACATCAGCTGGTTTCTGCTGTTGGAGCAGGAAACACACACACACACACACGTGGAGCCATCTTTGTTCTCGGGCTCTGAGCTGCAGGTTGTTCTTAGCCCTAGCTCTCCCCCTGCTCAGCCCCTCCGATCGCCCGGGGAGCCATCTGTTGAGCAGTTGCTGCAAACACCTCAGGGTGTCGTTGGAGATTAGAGGAGGTGATCTGTAGGTTTATTAGACCACCGGCTCGTCTCCTGGTGAAACGGGAACCACCGGGTCTGATCTCCTGAGGCTGTGATCGTGCTTATCTGCTCTGACCCAGTTTCATCGACAGTAGTTTCCCCAGAGTGAGATAAAATGTCCTTTTTCTTTGTTTGCTTCATCTGTTCTTCTGGTCCCACATGGGACATGCTGATGTAGACCTGACTGATCAGTAGAACCATGGTCTGACTCCCCCAGGATGTGCAGTGATGTCTGCTTTCTGTCTCCTGCAGGAGGTCGCCTGTGCTCCTTCTCCCCATGCATAGAGCAGGTCCAGAGGACCTGTGAGGTTCTGGCGGATCAGGCCTTTGAGGAGATCAGCACCGTAGAGGTGCTTCTGAGGATCCACGACGTCCGGACCGTCTCGCTTCCTCTGCCCGACTTTGGGCCAGACCCCTCCTCTCAGACTGAACCCGGACCCGAGGAGGAGGCCCCTCCCACTCCTAGTGTAAACCACGCCTCCATCACCATGAAGACCACCACGCCACCAAGAGAAATGCCGGGTCACACGGGGTACCTCACATTTGCCACCAAACCCAGAACCTGAGGCTGGCCGAGTCGTTTGTTGCTTGCATCAAGCAGGAGGGAAAATGCGCCTGACAGCAGTTTAGTTTGTTTATAACTCAGATTATTGTTTCTGCTTCTGTGTCAGGATTAAAACCTGCTCTCATTTATGGGAGTTTTCGCTTCGAAACGCCAAGAAAGAGTAAAATTGTGTTGATTTTGTTTAACAGCTGCTGTGTTGGGACGCTCACAGCGAACCCTTGTTCCTCTTGAAAGATTAAAGTAAAGCTGCAGCAGGACTGTGACTCGTGTCAAGCTTCTGTTTATGTGACCAGGTGAATCCTTCCTAATGGATTCTGGGCAGGGTTTCCTCCTGCAGCCCAACTAAATTGTGAAATTTGAAAATAAAACTTATTTCTTTTTTCACGATGAAGTCTGTGCTGGATCTAAAAGTATGAAACGCATCGTCTAATTCCTAAAGCAGCTGGTGTGTGTGAAAAAGCTCCGTTCATAGTTCTGGTCAAGCGTTTGCTGCCTCCTGAAGGCTGCTGATGTTTGTCTGAGAGGTCCTCCACAGACGGATCTGCTGAGAATTCCCACTCCTGTTTTTGATCCGGTGAGTCTGGAAGCTGCAGTTTGACTCCGGAGTTTCCAGAATCGGATCCTGTTTCTGGTGGGAAAGCGGGATAGCTGCCCTGTGGGTTAGGAACGCGCGGTTCCTGACTCCGACCTGCTTGTTCTGGTGTGGACCGGGTCAGCTGATGCTGCTCGGATTCACTTATCAGATACATTTCATTCGAGTCACTGAAGGAGTGTTTATTTGAACAGCCTCAGTCTGGAGACGAGGAGATCGGTTGTGATCAAACCGATACGCTAACAGCCAATCAGCTGGGTTATAAAGCATCTTAATTCAAATTCTAATCTTTTGTTTGTTTCTCAAATAAACTCCATTTGTTAAAAATGTATATTTGATCTGCTCCTAAAAGCTGTTTGTTTTCAGCCTCTAGTCACCAAGTCTCGTCGCTGATTTGACGACGTTCGCTCCACTCTGGTCTGAGGACCAGAAGAGTTTTAATCTGGTTGTCCGAGGCTCGGAATAGCAGTCCTGAGCTGCTGGAAATCCCACTGCCTAATCAGCTTGACCTCTGAACTCCTGAAGCAAGTGCTGGAGCTGGGCAAACGTCCAGATCACAACCTGGCTTAGAGAGGAACGCTGCACGAGACGACCCGAAAGCGGAGGTGAGCGGGCAGGGCTCAGGTCGGCTCCGCCCACACTGGGCTTATTTGGTTTCTTGAAGACGCTTCCCTTCTCATTCAAGGAACTTCGTCATTTCTGGCTGGAATATGGGATTAGAGTTTATAAGCTGTAGCTGTCTGTGCATATGTCTATGAGAAGGTGAGCCCTCCCCGTAGGTTTCTCCTTTCCTGCACCAATAATGCAGCTCTGAGTCTAATCCCCTAACAGGTTCAGTCGGTCACGCCCTCCTACATCTAATCCATACGACGATTCCCTAGTTCAATCACACTCCCATCCATGTTCTGATTTTTATTTGGAAGTGGATTGTGATCAGGCTCAGGCCTTCAGCAAGCCCTGGTCCAGCCCCGAGTCTCTTCTCAGAGGGACACGTCCCAAGGAAGGTGTCCAGGAGGATTCCCCGCCAGATCCCTAGCTCCAAGGAGGAGGAACTCAAGTCTACTTTGGCCTCCTCCCTCACAGATCATTACCCAGATCCCCTTACCTGTGGACCAGATCTGAAGAGACCTGGAGTTGGTAATCCAGTCTTTTCCAGTTGAGCTTCAGACTGATCTTCATCCCCGCTGCATCACCGTTCTAGTTCCTGCAGGAACATCTAAATGTTTTTATTTGTCAAGAGTGTCACATTAGGATTTAAATGGTTATTTTATTAAACAGGACAAAACAAGCTTTAAATTTAAATGTATAAAATAAATATAATTTGTGCAGCATTGTGCAAAGCACTTCACAACACACACACACGCTCTGACCACCACAGGCAAAGATGGTCAACGACTGAGATGGACAGAAATTCATCGGTCATGGGGCAAGCTAACAACTGCCGATGACACACACACACACACACACCAGCATAGTCCGTGTTTACAGCGAGAATCTCTTAAAGAGGGCTGAAAAACAGTCTCGTTGCACCCTGAAAGAAGGTAGGCCAACAAGATATGTAAGCAAGCTATGCTATCCGGGCCAGGCCGACCAGGTACAGATGGGAATGGCCCAGACTCCTTTTTAAACACTGAGTAGATTTCACGTGATCGTTGTTCATGGTTTCTGGACTTTAAAAGTAGAAAGTGAACATCTATGGTTTATAACCCCACCTTTGACTAGAGGGTTTTAATGGCTGGTGAACTTTCAGCCGAGCTTCAGCAGAAACCTGTTCTCTTCCCGGGATCCAAACTCATTAAATGTGGACGTGGCCCTCGGCTAACATTCCTGTGGCACAGTCTGGCCTCCTGCCAGCTTTTACCGTGAGGGACGGGGTCGCTCAGGGGGCTTCAGCAGAGGAGAGGCCTGGTGCAAGACATGGGGCTGAAGCCTCAGCTCCAACTCTCCACAACAGCTGAAGAATAAAAGCCCAGTTTCAGGTTTCCCTCATAAAAAATGAATCAGAGGTGTGAGACCAGCCTTTGTTGTGCCTCGCTCAGACGTCACACAGCTGTCAGCTGATGCTGCAGCTCTGAAAATGTCTCCTGTGTTCTGCAGAAACTGGCCAGGACATGGTGCATGCTGGGATTTTACCTCACCCTGAGTGTAGAAACATTTAAAGGTAATAACTCAGTGAAACTGGCGTGCTTTGGGAATCCATCTGCAGGGTTTTTAGATCAGACAGTCTAAGCATTAAAATGTGGATCCGTGTTAACTGAATGGGTGTCAGAGCGCCATCAGAGGAAGAGTCACTTCCTGTTTGGAAAACAAGGAAGAACAGACAGGAAGTACTCAGTGTGGAGCCTCCCTGTTTTACTTTTTCCTTTTTTTAAATAAAACCAAATGAGATCACAATCAATGCATTTGCTTACAGAAAGATCCAGAAATGTGTAAAAGGGTTACAGAGGTAACAAAACCATAGGGCAGGTAGTCGTCTAGTCTGTTTAAAGAATAAAGTTAATTTATAAATAAATAAATAACCAGAAAAGATCAATAACAAATAAAACAGTAAACTAACTTTTGCGTTACTTACTTCAAACGCTAGGGGGCGATGAGAGATAACCCTAGTTTTCTTTGCTGCTGGGTTTGACTGTTGTGTTTTCAAACGTGGTGGCTTAGTGCCTCTAAATGTACATTTATGAATGTTAAACTTTACCATAACCATAATCAGATCACTTACACAAGCTTACCTTTTTGTGCATCACAGTCTTCCTTAAGGCCAAACAAAATAAATGTTGGACCAGAAGGTTTGGACAAAAGCGCAACGCCAAAACAGACAGATGTTCATTGATGATCAGAGCAAACAGCGATAAATAACGTTTCTTTAACTGTGTTAGTTACGTCGTCCTCAATATGAAGCAATAAAAGGAGTTGCAACAGTTTCCTGCTGACATAGAGCTAAATGATTTATTATTATTTGTGGTACCGAAGCATGTTCACCTGCAGCCGTATCTGATGGTGATGAGGAGGACAACCTGAAGGCGGGGGCGTCAGAAGCACAAAAGTCTGGTTGAGGACATGAAAATAAATATGGTGTCAATACTATTTCCTATGGTATAGGTCGCTACCCACCTATTTTACCTACAGTAGTAAAAACTTAACTCAATAACTATTTGTTCACTACAAACCAGCCGATCAATGCAGAAAGTACTAAAACACACAAAAAAAGAAATTCCCCCTATTGAATCAGAATACTTTCTTATTCCCAAAGGAAATGATGAAGAGTGGTTGCTCCAGACAATAGAATAAAGATAGAACATATTAAAGTCATAACAACAATACATAATCAGATTAAAAACAGTCCCCAACCCGTTACCAGTCCAACTGGATCCGTAATCCTACTCCATGTCCTGTAATCCAGCACATTAAACTAAAGAGTGGGATTGAATTCACCAATCGCAGCCGGCAGAAAGGATTTTCTGTATCTTTCAACAGAGCATCTACCGGTTTAGTCTCCCGCTTTATTTTATTCTTGTTGATAATAAGAACACCAGCAGGTGGCTCAACATGTCCCTATTTTACAAGCAGTGATTTCATTTATAACAGTCCAAATAGTGTTATTACTAGTCAGACTGAAAACACAGACAGCAGCGGGTATTTTATGTGAGGATATCCGACAATGGCACTGATCTGAGACAAACCCAAATCCCTAAAGAAACCAGGGCAGATTGGATTTGTGTCACAAACATCTATGAATCTGTTGTTCCAAGTAAATATTAACATCCCTGAAGTCCATATAGCATTATTACACCCACAGTGATCATTCAGGTATCTTAAATATGATCGTTCTCAGGACGTGTGTGTTGGGTTTGTGGCACAAGGCTTAAGTTGAGCCTGTCTGAAATGAAAATAGAAGTTTAAATGTGAGTTCAGATTTTGAAATAAAGTTATTGATAACTGGAGTTACAACAGTTCAGTTTAAATATTCAAACAAGAACAAGCAGCTCTGTTCCTGCAGCATCATCATCTCACCTTAGGGTTGATGTTACTGAATACAGCCGTGTTTAACATTGACCCATGCTGGATCTCAGGTATGTTAATCAGTTATCAGGAGAAGCTCCTCTCTGCAGCAGCAGCAGTCCTCAGGGCCACCATCACATCAGGGTAAACGTCCTTCAGCTTCTCTCCTCTGTGTGGAACTGTAAAGTCTGATGGACCCTCTGTGGACTAACTCCACCTTCATCTTACCAGACAGGTGAGGTCAGTCAGCAGGTCTAAAGGAGCCTTGAGAGAGTCACCGTGAACATCAGGACGTGTTGATGGGCGTGGGCGTCCTCAGACTGTCTGTCCCTTCAGCTGGAAGCGAATCAAACACACGTGTGAACGTAGATGTTAATCCTTCAGTGAGGTCACACAGTGATGTAGAAATGACAGGACATCAGGTATTAAACCCACCTGAGTAGCAGTATTGTTCAGTAACTTCAGCTGTAACATGCTACATTCTCTGTAATTGCTAACAAGGCTGTACCGTTCATTAATAACATATCAGTGTGTCAGAGACCACAGCCAGGCTGGTGTTGGTGTGGATGTTTCATCAGACGCTCCAGCAGCTGTTAGGGTGCATCTAGACAGATGAACACGTTACTGTACAACATAGCAGCAAACAGGTGAGTAAAATGCTATTTATAGATCACATTAAGGCAATAGTCACAAAGTGCTTGTAATGGAGACCAGGGGTTCCATTCATATGATTAATGTTCTGTTATTTCTGATTGAGTTACAGACAAAAGGTTTTGTTATTGAAGTTATTTAT